CAAGCCAAAGAGGTCGACAGTGCCGCTAAGGACCAGAGCACGTCGATCAAGGAGGTCGCCGATACCCTCAAGGAGCTCCAGGCCAAAGTCACTGCCAAGAAGCGCCGCCGCGTGGGAGACGGAGAAGGAGAAGCTACAGAGGAGGCCAAGGTCGAAGTCAAAGAGGAGGCCGCTGAAGCCACCACCGACCCCGCCAAGTGCGACTTCTCCAACGCCGATGATGTCAAGAAGTACCTCGACCAGACCACAGCCACCAGGGCCCGGCAGCGTGCAGCCAAAGCCCAGGAGGTGGCATCCAAAGGGCAGGACGACAAGGGCGAGCAAGGCACTGGCACTCACGCTCGCGCTCCTGGGGGCCCTGGTGAAGGAGGCGGAGGCGGGGGACCCTCGAAGTCATCCTAGCCTGGCCAACACGTACAACACCCAAACAGCGGCTGCGTGGTCTGCTGGACCCCAGCCCACGACGGACGACTTCGGCAACCCCGTCGCCATCGCCACGAAGTTCCTCCGCTGGTGCGAGGGTCGCAGACTCCTGCCCACGCCCGAGCCCAACGGCAACCAGGCGGCCAGCTGGACTATTGAGGGGGCCCAGAACTCTCACCTGGGAAAGAGTTCGAGTCCCCTCCATCCACGGTCGGGCGCCTGCGCGGGCGGCTGGGGCCAGTCCACCATCACTGCGAACAACCGCACAGCCACGAGCGCAGCCGCCGCAGCAGGTGGCCCCCGCGCTCGAGGCGACGGAGACAGCCAGACTGGCCAGTCCCAGGTGACTGCCAAGGGGAAGCGGCAGCAGGACACAGGCGGACAGCCTGAGCGACGAGTCCGTTTCGACACCGAGCCAGGCCATGGCGAACCAGGCCAGCGCCCTGGACACCAAGCGCGCCAAGCAGCTAGGCAGACCAGCCCGCACCAGCGACCAGACCCAGGTGACCACCCTCAAGACGCCGATGAACCCGTGCACGCCAGGCTCGGTCGGGTATCCTCAGCGGGCAGCTGGGAGCCGCTGATTGAACGGGAGGCCGTGCAGGTTTTCTTCGGCATCTGCAGCCAGTGCAATGACGCGGCGAAAGCTTTCGTGGAGGGAGCGCAGTGCTTCGACCTCATTGGCCTTGCGGAGCATCACCTTACGCGCCCCCAGTGCGACGCCGAAGAGCAGAGGTTGCGCCGATACGGGTGGCGCTCCATGCACTCCTGGACGCCAGCCACTAGCAGCCGCAGAGCAGCCGTGCGGCCAGGGCAAGCAGAACGCAGAGAAGGCACGCCATGTTGGCTACGCCGCAATGACCTCAATACCTTCTCACACCCACCTGATAAGACGGGCGAGGGCGCCTTCCATGACCAGCTCAGCGACGCCACGGTCACACTCATCCGTCTACGCCATGGCACCTTCGCGCTCATCAGTTGCTATCTGGACTGCAGCATCGGGCTCGTGGGTAACAACGGCACCAAGCTGGGCAACATCCTCAGGGTCACCAGGTCGCTCGGGGTGCCGTGGATCATAGTCGGGGACTTCAACTGTACGCCAGATGAGATGGCTCCATCCCGCTGGCCGCAGGCACTCAAGTGCAAGATCCTGGCGCCAGACGCCGACCTCACCTGCGCCAGCGGCAAGGGCCGAATCCCCGACTATCTGTTATATTCCGACTCAGCCAGACCATACATCAAATCAGTGGACGTAGTGCGCCAAGTCCCATGGGGGCCGCACCTTGGGCTGCGCATCCAGCTCGCGGCCAGGCCAGGCGAAGTCCAAGCCCGTATTCCGTGGCTCCCCAGGAGGTTCGAGATCCCGACCGTAGAGACCCAGATCACCAAAGGTATCAAGCGGGCACAGAGGGACAGACAGCAGTACGAAAATGCCGTCGAGGAAGGTTTGGGCGATGATGAGCTCGCGAACCTCCAGCACTTGGTGAGCGAGACCTACACCAAGAAACACCATGCCTTCTGCGACGACGATGCATGGGCCAACGCCAAGGACTACGCCGCCCAGAGCCAGCTGGGGCAACTCCCGCCCTGGGTCCAAAGCTCCCTGGCGTACAGGGCCAACCCAGACTGCGCGGACAGCTTGGGCGATAGGTACGGCTACTGGGCAATGGCGGCGGAGAAGATGCTCGCATACCTATGCGAGGTCAAGCCGCGCGACAACGCCAGGCGCGACCAGCCCATCAAGTATGTACGGACTGCAGTTACCAGCCACCTGAAGCATCAGCCAGGCCACCAAGGGGCGGCTCGGAGACCCGAAGTCAACATGTGGGGCACACTGCAAGGCAGGCTGACTGGGCTCAGCAAGGTATGCCTCATGACTAACGGCACCTCTGGGCAGCGTGCGGCCATCGAGCACGTGATCATCCTCACATGCCAACAGATCAGGGACGCTCAGAAGCTCACGGAAGACGACCCCAGCGAAGACAGCAGGGCACTCCGATATACGGAGGCACTCGTCCGAGGCCAGCGCCTACCAGTCCCAGATGACGAGCAGGACGAATGGGTGGCAACAGTAGAGGCAGTCCGCCAACGTGCGGATTCACACAACAAGAAGGCTTGGCAGGAGGCCAGACCTGCAGTACGCCACTGGACAGAACAAGCTCTCCAAGGATCGATGGTCGAGGGACACGGGTACTTCAGCAAGCCAGAGCGGAAGGACCTCAGCGAAGTCACTATCGACCCACTGGATGGACACCCAGAAGGCGACCTCCAGGAGGGGGTCAACCTACGCAGGGCAGCTTGGGGCAGGCGCTGGCAGAGGGACACGGACTCGCAGGACCTGCAAGCAGCCATGGAAGGCCTGCGCGCCAAGGCCGACGCGGCCAACCGCAACCGAAGGCCATGCGAGCTAGCCGATTTGGACAAAGCCGTGCGCCAGTTCAAGAATAGCACAGGCAGAGGCACGGACCAGTGGAGTCCAGCAGAGCTGGCCGCCCTTCCGACCCCAGCCAGGCACGAGTTGACCGACCTAATCAATGATTGCGAAGCAACGCTGTCCTGGCCCCACCAGTTCTACCACGTATGGTACCAGCTCCTCAGGAAGAACGACAGCGCGGTCGCAGGGGAGGAAAGACCCATCGGGCGATTCCCCATCTTGGTTCGAGTCTGGGGCAGACTCACCAAGCACGAGGTGGGACACTGGTGTGACGAGAGGGCTGCATTCTGGGACGCAGCGGTGGCTGGCAGCTCCGCGCTCCAAGCCTTCATCGTCGCGGCCTGCCTGGACGAAGCGGCTGCGCGCGGGCATTCAGCTGAAGCATGGGCAAGCTTGTTTTTGGACTTAGAGAAGTTCTATGACAACATTAACCTGGTCAAGCTCATCAAGAAGGCGGATGCCCTGGAGTACCCGCCCGTCGAGCTCTACGTATGCACCCTGATGTATGTGGCGCCGCGGGTCGCGCGAGCCTCAGGTCCGTACGGAGCCCCACTGGTGCCATGCAACAGCATCGTTGCAGGCTGCAATCACGCCAACAATGCGGCTCGCACGATGCTATACGACATCCTCGAACTTGCGCACCGCACTGCGCCGAAGGCATGGCCACGGCAGTATGTCGACGAGGTGCAAATCCGCGCGGAGGGAGCATGCAGCATTGTGGGGCACCAGATAGCCACCAGCGCAGCATCCATCATACGAAGCTGTGAAGCCGACCAGCTGCCCATCTCAGGGAAGTCTGCGGTGGTCGCCTCGCACCCAGCCGTCAGAGACGCAGTCGGCGCCACAGCGGCTGCCATGGGCCTCGCCCTCGCGCAGGCCGAAATCATGAAGGGCCTGGGCTGCGACACCACCATTGGGAGAAGGAGACGCAGAGCGACCCAGGCCAAGCGTGCATCACAGGCCAGGCAGCGGAAGAAGCGGGCCAAACAGTTCCTGCGGGCAGCCCGTTGGAGAAGACGATCAGCGAGCCTGTACCGCACCAGCATCAGGGCCAACCAGCAGCACGACCAGGCCGCAACGGGCATGACCCCACACGACATCATCAGGGCACGAGCTGAGGCAGCCGACATGGCGGGCATCACGGCGGGGCACCGATGCACGGCTACGGCTAAGGAACCGTTGACGGCCAACGTCACCCGCCAACTTCGCGAATGGGTGCGCATGTGGAGACGCAATGATGACCTACGCGGCCACCTCCGCGAAGCATGGCACCGCGTGCAGATCCACCTGAACAGCGTCACCAAGCGAGGCCGATGGATGGCCGCCACGGGCCCCATGGCAGCCCTTCAGCTCTCCCTCGGGATCCTCGGCTGGAAGGGGCAGGAAGCGGAGCAGTGGACTGACCATCGCGGGCACACGTGGCAAATCTCAGATGCCGTGGATGCCAACCTCACCGAGGTCGAGGATGCCATCAAGGACGCCGCGACCAGCCTCCTTTGGAGCCAGGCGAGCAGGCACCCTGAATGACAATGACTACAGAGTGGCGCCGACATCTCTGCGCTCCAGAGCAGTGCAAGTCTCTTCCGCAAGCTAGAGAGGCACCAAGAGGCAGGCGCGCTTGAAGCATCCGCATGTGCAGCGATTTGGACCAACCACAAATGTCACGCAGCAGGATACCACACTCAACCGACGTGCACCCGCTGCCAGCTGGGAGTGGACGACACGCCATTCCACAGACTGTATGAGCGCCCAGCCACGGATGACATCGACCACCAGTGGGTCACCAGCACGGCAGCCCTGGTGGCCAGGGCGAGAGCTGTCAAAGACGACCCGCTTGAGCACGCTTTTTGGGTCAGAGGCATCCTACCCAACGAAATATGCCCAATCGACCCACCCCCAGAGTGGGGCAGCCTCGACGACACGCACTGGGCGGTTGGGAACTTCGGCATGCGCACTGGCGACACCCGCTCCGTGGCAGCTGCGGTCGCGTACGCTGACGGTTCAGTCACGTCAGGCGACAAGCGCATCGCCCGAGCAGGATGGGGCATAGCGCTGGAGCTGCCCGAAGACACGGGCATCGACATCGACGACTACCCAGGCTGGTTCAGCATCGTGGACGGGCCCCAGACCGTCGCAGCAGCAGAGCTCGCAGCCATCTACTGGACGCTGAAGCTCACCCACGGACCACTCGCCATCGTCACGGACTCCCAGATGGTGGCGGACGGGTGGCGCAGTTACAGCTATGCCCACCCAGAGGGCCCCCTGGCGAGATGGTGGCAGCGCATCCAAGATGTCATCAGAGAGCGAGTTTGAAGCATACGAGACGTCATCGTCGTCAAGTGCTACTCGCACATCGACGTCATCACGATTCAAAAGATCAGGCAGCCCATGCGCGTCACCAGAGGGAATGAGCCCGCTGATGGGTACGCGCAGAGAGGAGCCGAGATCGCAGCCAAATGCGTTGCCCCTCAGGTCGCCGCCCTGATCGAGAGAGAGAGAGAGAGAGAGAGAGAGAAGCTCCTCAAGCGCATCCACCGCAGAATAGGTGCCCTCGCTGCTCACCTTGCAGGACTCGACCACCCACGGCTCACCCGCACGCGCCAGCGGGGCGGAGGGGTCAGGGTCTTCCACACACGCAAGCAGGTTGAGGAAGCTACGGGCAACCGAATGCACAAGCGGACCGACGGCAAGTGGGTCTGCCTCGAATGCAGCAAGGGGCCTGGCAAGTTCTCCATGGTCGACTGGATGCGGACACATGGGCGCAATGCAATGCCAATGGTAGCCAATAGTAGCGGGCGGGCCACCAAAGTACCCAAGACGGAGTACGCCACCCTCATGAACCAAGGGCCGATCCACCCAACGCACAACCTGAGCTACCTGCATGGGTAATGCTGGCGCTGGCGATGTGGTGCGATGGGCTCCCTCTCCTCCGACGGGAAGAGCCGCATGCTACGTCTCCGGCACAAATGCCGAGGTTGGATAACGCCTGCAGCCAAGCACCAGCTCGACCGCCTTCGGCGAGGCAAGCGCCCCAAGCCAGGCAAGGCCAGGTGGCCAGACGGCACGGACGCCAAGCCCGAGACAACCCGCAGACCCAGAGCCAACCACTCAATGCGTGCAGCAGCGAGGGAAGCGGGCACGGCCAAGCGGAAGTGGCCGCATAGAGGGCTATCGGCGCTACTGCCTGCACACCACTCGGGCATGAGCAAGCGAACCACAAGCAAAGGGGAGCACCCGCGGGCTGGAACGCCGCTACCGACGTCTCGAGCAAATCCAGGAGATGGACTCCCTGGTTCAGGAGGAAATCACGGCGGCAGCAGTCTCAGCAATACAAATCCTGGAGAGGGCCTCCCAGGTTCAGGAGGTAATTGCTCGTCAAAGGCTAGACCAAACCCTGGGGATGGCCTCCCAGATTCAGGAGTAAATTCAGCTGATGAGAAGAGTCTCGAGCTAAATCCTGGAGATGGCCCCCCAGGTTCAGGAGTACATGGTGGCCCAACCTGCTGCCCAGCTAAGCGCAGCTCAGGAGAGCCCGCCGACCCAGCTGAAGCAACGAAGCGGCCCAAGCAACGACCGAGACAGGGCACGCGCAGACCACGGGCCACCAGCACCGACAACTCCACCAAGCGCCGATGCGAATATCGCAATGCGCAGCCAGACGACGAGGACAGCACCAACGACGACGGGCCCGAGCTACACACCAAGGCCTCGGCGCAGCCGACCGACACAGAAGGGAGGCAGAGGGGTGCTTTTCCCCCAACCGACACAAGCCAAGGTGTTCGGCCACTAGACAGCTCCCAATCGTGCAGACCTGAACGCTCACGCAGCCCACCAACCGCGAGAGCAGGTTACTCCGACAGGAGCACCAGCAGCCCAGATGAGCAAGCGGCAAGACAGGAGACCCCCGACCTAGGCCAGCGCATCATGTCTTTCGTGGGATCGAGGACGAGCGAAGACGGGCTTGCGGGCATCTTCGACACTGTCAGCAACGAGGAGGTCGAGCCCAGAGGGAACCGCACACGCGAGCACAGCCTGCTGGACTTGAGCCCCCCGACGAGCAACCAGTCACGCTGTCCCGCACTTCGCCGAGGACAAGCAGCACAGTACCAGGAGGAGGAAGACGGAGCGCCAAGCGACGAGGCGGCCCAACCCCAAACGGGCCCAGCGATCCACCACGTCAAGCTGAAGGAGTGTGGCAATGACATCCATGGCGTAGTGGCGCAGGAGAACTTGGAGCCACTTGAGATCGCGCTGGAGCAACTTTCAAGCTGGTGGGTCATCGACCTGGTCGACAGCCACGCGGGCAAAGTCAGCTGGAACGACCTATGCGTGGACTACGTCAAGCGGGAGTTGCGGCGCGAGGACTTTGGTGGGTTCTTCAGGTACGTCAGTGACGCCGAACACGATACCGAATTCCAACGCCGTGCCCAACAGATATGTGACCGAGGATGGGACGGTGGGCACATCCTGCGAGAACGGCGGCTGGCCCACACGCACGCCCAGAATGGCGACGACTTAACTATAGCGATCCAGCGCCTCACTGCCTACCAGGCCGCGGCAAGGGCTTTCCTAATCCCCAGGCAGCACATACACCATCATGAGGCATTCCGCGTATGGGTACCTCAACAGCTCTGCGGACTACATCCCCATGGACCAGGATGAGTCCAACGCCAGCGCCGAGCCACAGGAGCACGACCCAGGCAACGACTCCCTCACCGACCAAGACTCCTTCGAGACAGCAGGAGGAACTCCAGCGGCAGTGCCAAGACCGCCGAACGAGCAGCAGCACGGGACGGTCCTCCAAGGACCTCAGCGCCCAGCAGCAGCGGACCCCGCAGGCTTGCCAAACGCAGAGGCGCCAGCAGCGGAACAACTCCCAGCCCCAGCGCATGCTGCAGCAACAGAGGGTGAAACGGATGCGCCTGACGAAGCGGCTCGTGCAGAAGGGCCGCTCCAGGCCCCAGCGCAGGCTGAGCCAGCAGGGTCAGTCGAGCCAGACGCTCTGAGATCCAGGTCCCCGCGCCCAAGACGGAGGCTGGAGCAATCTAACAGCAACGACCCCACGGGCAGGGGTCACGGAGCGCAGGTGACCAGGCAAACCCACTCTTTCCCCAGCCTGAGCGCCCTCTGCCTACAGCTAAGTGAATATGCGGCCACGTGGGTTCACGACCTCACCTCGCCAGAAGCAGGGCTAACTTCATGGACGGCATGGGGCAACCAGCACGTCACGGCGCTGCTTAGCAACCCGATCCACAGGCGCCTGCGCGACGAAGTGGAGTTCACCGCAGGCACCGACGGCATCCTCAACTACGTACGTGGTATCATCACTGTCGCGTGGACCACCACGCAGACAATGCGCCAGAGGCTGACGGACCACATCCAGTCCCTTAGTGTTAGTGAATGGCTGCACGTGGTCGCGATGCACTGGGCCAACCTTGACGAGGTCCACCGAATGATGACGGACACGCTTAACGGTGACCTCACCAACCTTGGAGGCCAGCCACCAGAGTGGGCTCCGCCCCACGGCACGGCCGCAGGAGTCTGGTATGGACCACCTACAGCACCAGCACCCGCGCTGCCGAGGCCAACATGCATTCCCAACTGGCTCGTCACGGAAGGCTGGGGGCGACCATGGCCTAATTGGGACCAGGTGCCCGGACCAGACAGCGACGACGACGATTACCACCATCCTGATGCGGCACCATCTCAAGGCGAAGCCGGCCAGGCCCATCCACAAGTACAACCACAGGCTGGGCAGGCCCCCGCCAAAGGAGCCCAACAGCTCCTTGGGGCCCAGCCAAGCGTGGAAGGGGACACCAGCTTCTACCAGGACAACGCCAGCCACGACGAAGGCCCACGTGGAGGGGCTGGAAGAGATGAACCAGAAGGAGGAGACCTCGGGGCGGGTGGAGCCAACGGGGTAGAAGAAGATCAGTCAGCCAGCCCATCGTCGCCATGGCCATCGAGATCATCGACGGAGAGCCCCACTGGTGACAGGTGGAGCTCAGACAGTAGCGCAGGCAGAAGGAGGGCAAGGCCAGAAGTCTATGGCAGCCAGACAGGGACCGCCGAGGAAGCAGCAGCGATGGACCTGCCGACACTCGGAGCACAACATGTCGGCCAGGCCCACGCCGAAGCAGTACCAGAAGCCGAACTCCGACGCCGAAGAGCCAATGTGCAGGCCTGGCGAAGGAACACAGCAGGCGGGCGCAGCCGACCCGAGGAGGATGAAGACTTGCAGCTCATGCAGACCGCTGTGGGGCCAGCGGGACACACCGACAGGGCTCCCTCAACGGTATTCGAGCCAGCGCACCAGCGTGAGGAGCAAGATCAAGGCCTCCAGCACGGAGAAGCCCAGACAGACCAGCCGCCCGTGGAGGCGCAGGAGCCAGCCAGCACCAAGGCCTACACGCGCGGGAAGGCGACCAGGCGTCCCGCGCAGAGGCCCACAGGCAAACCACAGTGCAAGGCGCGCCGCCCAGCAGGGCCCGACGCCAGCCCAGACGCGCAGGCCGCGACAGGATCCCCTGCGGCCAGAGAGGCCATGGCAGCTGCTGCAGCCCGCCGAGAGGCCAGGCTCAAGGAAATACTCAACAGGAATTCGCGCAGCCATGTGGACGACAGCATCGAGCTAGTCCAGAACGAGCTCCACGTCGTTGCGGACCACGCCATCGTCACCAAGTCCCCCTTCATCAAGTATGACCGCCCAGGACAGTCCTCGGCCAGTACCCGCGCCCGCTCGGTGCCTTCAGGGCGAAGGGACCGCCGCGATGAGCTAACGACGACCATCGGCCTGATCGGAGCCGAATGGGTGCCCCGCGAGTTCCTGCAGAACGAGGAACTGGACGAGCAGCAGATGTGGTTGAACTGGTGCGTCCCCTTCGTGCTGCAGCTGATGGAGGCCAAGGACATGGACTGCCTGTTCAACGCGCCCGACGATGACGAATACTGCGACTACAAGAAGCAGCTCGCGGAGGAGGTGTGCTACACTGCTTGGGGCCGCAGCGTCTCCCTCCGTGAGGTCCTGCGCACCAAGATCCGCGAGCGAAGGCAACAAGGGCAAGAACTCTCAGACGACCAGCAACGCATGGCCAGGACCTTCCTCAGGCTCAGCGGCACGGGCAGCCCAGAACCCCAGCCGTGAAGGCCAGGCCGACAACAGCGGAGGCGACGGCAGAGCCAAGATGGGCTCGGCCGAGGCCGTGGCGTTGCTCTTGGCAGCGGCAGCAGCTCGGCCCAGCCCCCGCGAGGATGAGGCACGCAGCGCTGGCGACGACCGAGCAGCTGCGCCATGACCACCCGTTGAACAGGTCAAGATCTGCCGCGGCGACTGGAAGCACCGCCTGGAGGAGCAGATCAACCACGCGACCCAGCCAGCGGCAGCCGCGGCAGCAGGCGCAGACGCCAGAGGAGGCGCGGAGCAGCAGACGCGCGCGGCGCGGCGGGCGCGGCAGCGGCCAGGAGCGGACGAGGTGCTGCAGGCAGCCAAGGTGGCCCGCGCCACACCGGCCGCAGGAGGAGGAGGCCAGCAGCCCTCCATCCGCCTTCTCCTGGGCTAGTGGACAGCCCAGCTGCGCGCGCCGCAGAACGGCTGCGCGCCATGCCCCGCTCAGCACGCTGGGGCAAGGCGGAGGAGCGGGCCACCAGCGCGGCTCGCGAGCCACGCCGAGCGGCGCAGGCAGCCGCGCCGCGGGCGCTGGGCGTCGGCGGCTGAGTGCACGCGGGCGGGGGCGCGGGACGGCCGCGCGCCGCCCGCCGCACGCGAGCGCGGGACGCGCCCGACTCAGGTGGGGGGGCGCCACGGGCGCCCCCCCCACCTCGAGAGACGTCCCAAGAGACGTCCTCCTCCTCCTCCTCCACCTCCTGATCGTCGTCCTCCTCCTCCTCCT